TAAGCTAATTTAATAAAGCCACCATCATATAACACACGCCCCTATAGACAAAAAACTGAAATAGTGGATTGCCACAGGCCTCACTTGAGGCAAATTTTCTACAAGCAAAATCATCCGCCATGAACAAAMGCTATATAAAAGCTAAAATAATCGCTTTTCGGACTGTAACGTGGATGTCAACTATGCTTCCGTAGCTTCCTGTGAGCCATTACCGATTTTTATGGGCTGGCATAGTCCTAATGGTATATAATTCCTTTCTTATTTGTTTAATTGTCAACAGTTTTGTTTTAAGGCCTTGTCCGGAAGAAGATAGTACACGATTCCCTGCAAATCTCCACAAACATTTAACAAACCCTTCTTGAGCGTCAATCCTGACTTATCTACTGTTTACAGTTTTCAATTGTAGCTGTTGTAGATAACATATTTTTCATTATCCGATTTTTTTTTTTATAAATTTAATCCATAGGGGTTTTTTCGTTAACGAGCTTCTTCTTGTAAAATACGGACTTTGAAGCTCCTAGTTAGAGGGTCAATGATCTCATAAGTTCTAGTGATTTTATTAGTCGCCTAATTCAAATTTTTTGGCTCTCTTAATATGTGCAAGAGTATGCAACAGTAAATTTTTTTCTTGGTTGATTTGACTGTTAGTGACATCTGTGTTATATATCACATAAAAAYAATCATTAGTGTTTAGTATCCGCTTGTTTTTCTGCCGAAATGATCAGAGTATGATTTGTCACTACCAAGTGCTTTTGATTCGCACAAATTATTATTATTCAAAGAGGGACAACGCATTGACGATGAGACACGTGCAGGACGGCCATCAACATAAGCTGAAGATAAACTTGTTAATAATATAAGGGAATTGGTGATTGAGAATAGACAATTAACACTCAGAGATCTAAATAACATGGATGCAAGAAAAAGGGCGATAAAAGTTCCACAAATTATACAAACGGAGCTGCCAACTTTGTTATTGTTAACTTCGAGTTTATTTATTTTTTTTTTTGTTAATTCTAGCTTCATATATCAATATATGATAAACAAAAACAAAACATAGAAAGGGAATTTCAGCAAAGATAGAGTTGAGAATGAGCATTTTTTTCATCAAAARTCTAAATTTTAATAAAAAATTTCAAAAATACGAAGATATTTTTCTATCTATATCTCTGAAGTAATGTAATTTTTCCTTTCCCTTTATTTTCGATGACTCGTTCAAGCASTTCGGCTGATAGCTKGCGAACGGMYCAAAAAGTGAAATTATCTRCTCATCGTTGTGTCTCTCAATCAATCCGTTGATATATGCGATGTGTGAGAAGTGGCGTAGTCTTGTTTATACCAAATATCGGCGAGATCAAGAGCTTCARTTTCAGACATCAAATAGTTGGATATCATGGCGCGATAACGGTCACCATTTTTTAAGAAAAATTAATTCCAATTTTTTAATGTTGTACTAAAAATCATGTGGCAACGCCAAAAACTAACACTAAATAGTTAAATTCTATGACCTATGGAAGGCTTGTGTGCGGAAAAGATGAGCTGGAAAGCACTATCTGCCTAATTTACGAGTCATAAAAAATCGCTAAAACTAGCTATTTTAACCAAAAGCTGAAATRAGCTTGAATAAAAATCAAATTTCTTTAAGCCAGTCTTAATTTGACGACTTCCACAAGCATTCTCATCAAATTTACCTGGAAATTGCACAAACATATAAAACCAATTGTGAATACCATATATGTAGTATGTATGTACGCGTCTTATAARCCATATTTCTTGTCCTTACCGTTCATAAGTCGCTCAAAGCTGCAAGTTACACCGCTACAAAGTACCTGAGTCCACTGTTTTTATACAACTTGTCTACTCGTTCGCTCTGCACTGCATATTATTCGCATTATTATTATTATTATTTTTTTTTTTTTTTTTTTTTTTTTTTTTCTCAGACGTTATTCTTCACGACTTTTGTACTTTACTGCGCGCCGCCAACGTTGCATTGCAAAATGAACTGAAAATATCGTCTGAACTTGAAAACATAAATTTTCCTCCCGATTGCCAGCTATGATGGCTACATTGCACCCGCCAGCGCTGCACTAGCTCCAGCGTGCGGCAATAAATTCTGATTTCAATTTAGATATAAAAAAATCTGCATAAAACTCAAAACAAAGTGACTGTGCGCACAGCAACAACAACAACAGTAGCAATKGTAGTGAAGAAAAAATACCGAACTAAAAACAAATAAAAGAAAATCAGCAAATAAAAAAATATAAATAAATCTTATTGAGAGCATATTATGGTAAACTTGCTTTGGCAATACTTTATTTATTTATTTATATACTGCTTTGAGTATGTGTGCGTGCAGCTGTGTGGCTAAGCAAATGAWATATTTCACATGAAGCCACTGCAATTTAATCACTGAAGTATCTAAAATTGGCGTTTAGGTCTGTGTGTGTGTGCGTCTATGTGGAATATCGTTTCGAACTCTAAGTACGTCTACATGTGTGCAGGGCCAAAAAGTTTGTAATAAAAATTCCGAATCGGATTTGCTGTAMAATATACAATTAAATAAAATTTAAATTTACATTAATCCAATTTACTAGCGATTGGGTAGCTCAGGCCCGCTTAAGCGCATATTAGGATGTGCGCTATTTGTTAAGTTGAATAWTGTTATTACAAACGCCTTCTGACATTCTAGTCCCAAACAAGATATCCAAGGAACACGTTTATTTTTTTTTAAAGTTAAGCAATACCTGAATCACATATCGTCACCCAAAATGGTAACCAATATATAACCATTTTTTGCATAAAAATTTTTATAGCCAAAGCAAACAAACCTAAAACTTCCAGGAAGTGGTATTCTTATGAAAAAAGTTCGTTCTCCAAAAAAAAAAAACMAAAAAAAACAGATTTTGATAACTTTTTTTCCATAAAATCCTTCTTTTAAGTTATGCCTAAAGTTATTTTAGATTTTATGTTGCTCATACGACAWGGGGTACTGTGCTCAGTRYACTTCATGTCTAAMCTTAACTGAATATAACTTTGAAATAAGTAAGTTTATGAAAAAAATTAATAAAACCTTTTTATAGAGCGAAAAATTGGGTATTTGAATATCATTTTCTCAAAGCTATAGAGTGACTAGAGAAATATAATTCAGCCACGGTTTTGATGGCAAATAAAAAGCTTTTTTCTGTTGTTACATACTTTTTTTAAGCAAAAACTGAAACTTCAGCTGGTTTTTACTATAAAAAAAAAGGAGTCACCATAATGTATATATATGAGTGTCTAYGCATGTGTTCTGGAAAATTAAAACCTTCTACCGCCCCGCCTTAAAATCACCTTTATGCATGTGTGTCGAGATATTCGTTTTTACTATCTCCATTTTATTTGTAAAATATTACAGTTAACTACAAGTATGATTCACATTAGGGTTACAATTACATATACATACAGAGCATAGCTGTGTGCTGTGGCTTTGCAAACTTCGATTAGCAGCACTTTTCAATTGAATATTTCTTTGTTAATTAAGTGTTTGTTGTTTTATTTATTTTGTTTTTGTCTTCATGAATATTAGTAAAATGCAGTTATTACACTTAATTAGAATATTTTTAGAATWTTTTCGCTCCGGATTTGCAGTTCATATGGTCGCAAGTACATATACATATATACATACTTATAAAAGTATTTATGCATGGTAMATATGTAGGTACATGCCGTTATTGATTTTTGTTTAACTATTTTAATATATATTTCTTTTGTTTTTGTAGAGTTTGCTTGCTATTTCCACTTCTCAGGTTGCAGTTCGTTTTCGATGCCACTTAACAGCAACAACAAATTAACTGAATTCACCGTTATAAAACAGAGTTATTCGTAGTAAGCCCAGCTGGTTTAGCATATAAAAAAAAATAACTAAACCGATTCCGCATTATAATTTATTTATCAAGAATTGTTTACCAATATAAGAGAATACAGTGTGCTTCAAAAGATTTGCGCTTTCTTTAACATTGAGCTTTAAATTTGGCGGTGCTCAAATATGTTCAGACTTAGCATTTTTGTGWTGAAAAATGAAATGTACTTATATAAAAATATACCCTTACATTTTAAAACAGTTTATATTAAGGATTTCCAAAAATTGCCAATTTTATATTATTTGTGGTGTCCCCCTTAATTTCGTACAGAAGTTGAAATATACCGGCTTCAATGAAAGATAATCTAGAAATATATGGTATACTTCTGACGGAAATCACATGTTAATATGTATGCAAAAATATATACTTCTTTAAAATATTCGTTGATATATCAACCCTTCKTCCTTAACCCTCTAACAGGTAAGACCGCTCTGAGGCGGCCTTTAATAAATAGTCCCAAACTCATAAGAAATTTTATTTTTGTTTACAACTGTTATAAGAACCGTTGAATAACACACCAACTCATATTTCCTTGATATCCAACAAATGTATTGTGACGTTTCGTTTTTTT